AACTGTCCTTTAGGAGTCTGAAAGTAGCATACACCTTACTTTGGCAAGAAAGATCCCTCTGAAAGGCAACCGAGTCTACAAAGCTTGCACAAATAGAAGTAAAGATTGTCTCTCAGAAGTCCGAGCAGAAGCAAGGCTGTCCCTCAGAAGTTCGAGCGAAAACAAGGCTCTCTCTCAGAAGTCCGAGGGAGAAGTCCAAGCGGCAACAAGGCTCTCCCTCGGAAGTCAAAGTGGATGCGCACTTCTACTTCGGCAGCTAATGGAAGCAAAGGCTATCCCTCGGGAGTTCGAGTAAGAGTCCACTCTACTTTGAAAAGAAAGATCCTCGGAGCTCGTATAGATGAAATCAATGGTTGTTCTTCGGACCTGCACTAATGAGAGCAAGAGTTGTCCCTCAGAAGGCTCTCCCTCAGAAGTCCGAGCAGAAACAAGGCTGTCTCTCGGAAGTCCGAGTGGATGCGCACTTCTACTTCAGCAGCTAATGGAAACAAAGGCTATCTCTTGAAGCTCGCACTGACGGAAGCGAGACCTGTTCTTCGAAAGTCTGAGGCGGAGAACACACTCTACTTTAGCAAGAAAGATCCTTGAGGCTCGCACTGATGGAAGCGAGGTCTGTTCTTCGAAAGTCTGAGTGGGAGCACACACTCTACTTTAACAAGAAAGATCCTCGAAGCTCACGCTGATGGAAACAAGATTTTCTTTTCGAAAGTCAGAGTGGGAGCACACACTCTACTTCAACAAGAGAGATCCTCGAAGCTCGCCGAGTGGGAACACACACTCTACTTCAACAAGAAAGACCCTCGAAGCTTGCACTGATAGAAGTAAGTGTTGTTCTTCGGAAGTTTGAATAGAAGCAAAGGCTGTCCCTCGGAAGTCCGAATGAAAGCAAGAGATGTCTCTCGGAAGTCTAAATGTACGTATACTCTCTTCTTCGGCAATCAATGGAAGCAAAGGTTGTCCCTCGAAAGTCCGAGTAGGAGTATACTCTACTTTAACAAGAAAGATCCTTGAAGCTTGAACTGACAGAAGTAAGGGCTATTCTTCGGAAGTCGAAGTGGGATCACACTCTGCTGCAATAAGAAAGACCCTCGAAGCTTGCACTGATGGAAGCCATGGCTGCTTTTCGGAGGTCCGAGTGGAAATACACTTCTACTATATCAAGAAAACCCCCTTCCGGTTGGTAACTAAGTCTACTGTTCCTCTTTCTTCTTTGAAGGGCAACGAAAATTGAAAACTATTTCAAGCAACATAACACAATGAAGATATACAATGTAGAGAAAATAACTTCTGATGGAGATATATAATATGGAGGAAATAAATTTCTTCATAACATAAGAAAGATAGAACTTCATGGACAATGCAGTAAATGCAAACTGTAAATGTCATAGATAGACTTCTTCCACGGAATGTTGAAATTTGCCCCTAGAGTTGCAAAATCATTTGGAAAGCTTTCACCAGCTGCTCGGGTTGTGGCCATCATGCACCATCATAGCCATGTCTTTGGATCTTTCTGTACAGACTGATATCCACATCCCCACAAGACTTTTCATGGATCTGCTGTAGTCGGAAACTTGCTTCTTGTTGGCCAACACACCGGGCTAGGAATCCGGTACCTCCTCGGAAGTAAAGTTCACCTTGAATAATTATGAATTGGGCAAGCTTGGCCATAGTCAATTTTCCAACTTTGCTTCTGAGTTGTTCGAGGACTTCTCCTCTCCAGTCCTCCGGAAGGCCTTTGTCTTCAGGTATTATCGAAGGCTCTATTCTCTTCTTGATAATAATTGTCGCCTCCTCCTCTGGGATATCAACTCCTGCCCCTAATGTAGCGAGGGCATCTGAAAACTTGTTGTCGGAACGAGGCACATGCTCTATTTCGACCTTCTGAAATTTGTCAAGAAGCCTTTGGACTGTTGTTCGATATGTGGCCAAGGCAGGCTCCTTTAAGACGAACTGTCCTGAAACTTGCTTCACTATCAACTTTGAGTCCCCCCAAATCCGAATCTTCTTGATACTGTGCTTCTCAGCTGCTATCAAGCCTAACATAAGAGCCTCATACTCGACTTCATTATCCGAACAATGGAAATCTAGTTTATAAGACAAATATAACTTTTCCCCACTTTTGCTTGTAAGGACTATCCCGGTTCCTCC